AGGTAGTATTTTCCAGGCAGAGGAAAAAATATGAAGAAAAAAAGTACATGAACCATTGGAAAAAATGAGTGGTAGGTCAATGAAGGTGAGTAATGGAAACAGGGTGGAAAGGTAGGGCAGGGACCAGGTTTGAGAGGACACAAAATTATGGCCTTGCTGTCTAGACTTTATTCCATGGGTAAAGGGGAGGTATTAGTTTTTAAGCAGAAGAGTTATAGGATCGTAGCTGTTATTTAATAAATAATAATGCAGTGTCAGAATTGGATTTGTATATAAAAGCAGTTTGGGAAGTTTGATTGGACTTGAAAGTTAAATTCATAAAGCATCATATGTGATATTGAAAAAGCATCACTGCATCAAAAAATAGAGACACAGATTATGAAGATGGCTAAAATTCCCATAAGTGACCAGTGGCCCTGCTACCACTGGAGATGGCAAGGGGTGAAATGTATGGGATGGCAGAAAGACTAGGAGTAGAGATCTCTAAGGGATTTTCAGTAGTTCACTGATGTCAAATCTTCCCTCTCTTGTATTCTTGCTTTAATTTCCTAGAAGTGCTGTTATTAACCCAAGGAAGACTTTTAATTTTTCCCAATTCCTTTTTAAAAATTGAGATGAAATTCACATAACATAAAATGAACTATTTTAAAGCGCACAATTCTTTTTTTTTCTTTTTTATTGTTTTTCAAGTACAGTTGTCTCCATTTTCCCCCCACCACTCCTGCCCACCCACCCCCACCTCTCACCCTTGATCCTACCCCCCTTTGGTTTTGTCCATGTGTCTTTTATACATGTTCCTTGATGATCCTTCCCCTTTTTTCTCCCATTATCCCTCTCCCTCCTGCTCTCTGGTTACTGTCAGTTTGTTCTCTAATGTCTCCGGTTATATTTTGGTTGCTTGTTTGTTTTATTGAATAGGTTCTAATTTTTGTCCCTCATCACCTGGCTTATTTCACTTAGCATAATGCCCTCTAGTTTCATCCATGCTGTTGCAAAGGGTAGGAGCTCCTTCTTTCTGCTGTAAAGTGCACAATTCTGTAGCATTTAGTACATTCACAATGTTCTGCAACCACCACTTTTATGAAGTTCCACACCTGGGATCCGCCCACAGCTGCTGGTGCACCTGGGTCTCACTCCTGGATAGGTCTGGTGGATCTTTCCTGCCTGACCAAGCTCTGCTGCTGGCACTGCCCCTCTTACCGGTTTGGCTGAAGGGTTCATTGTTGTCAGACTTCCATGTAGTTCAATTTTCTGTGGTTTGGCTGTGTTTTTGTTGCTAAAACTTTGTTGTTTTTAAACTTGGTTGTGCGAGAAGGCGCAGTGCTTCCACCTACACCTCCATCTTGGCAGAAGTCCTGTCTGATAGTGTTACTTTCATCCGTGGTGGATAGGGGGGACTTGCAGTCAGCCACCCCCACATGACCATACTACCGAAAGCAATATGCATAGATTCAATGCAATCACTATCAAAATTTAAATGGCATTTTTCACAGAAATAGAAAAAACAGTCTAAAATTTGTATGGAACCACAAAAGACCTCTAATTGCCAAATCACTTTTGAGAAAGAACAGAGTTGAAGACATCACACTTATGATTTCAAATTATATCACAAAGCTATAGTAATCAAAACAGTATGGTACTGGCATAAAAACACATAGATCAGTGGAACAGAATAGAGAACCTAGAAATAAACCCAAGTGTATATGGTCAACTAACTTTCAAGAGGAGTGTCAAGAATATATAATGGGAAAAGGATAGTCTCTTTAATAAATAGTGTTGAGAAAACTGGACAGCAGCATGCAAAAAATGAAACTGAACCCTAATCATACACCATACATAAAAATAGCTCAAAATGGATTGAAGACTTAAACGTAAGACCTGAAATCATAAAAAACCTAAAAGGAAAAAAAAAATACGGGAAAAGCTCTGCAACATTGGCCTTGGCTATGATTTTTTTGGATATGACAGCCAAAGGTCAGGTAACAGAAGCAAAAATAAACAAGTGGGACAACATCAAACTACAAACCTCCACAGAAAAAAATAAAATCAAATGACAACTGACAGAATGGGAATATTTGCAAACAATATATCTGATGAGGTTAATGTTGAAAAAATGTAAGGAACTCATCATACACTTCAATAGCAAAAATGAACAACAGAAAAATCCCCAGACAACCCAATCAAAAAATGGGCAGAGGACCTGAATAGACATTTTTCCAAAGATGACATAAATAAACAGGTATTATAAAAAGGTACTCAACATCACTAATCAAAGAAATTAAAATAAAAATCACAATATCTCCTGACACGTGTTAAGATGGCTATTATCAAAAAGATGAGAGGATCTGGCGAAAAGGGTGGGATTGTAAATTGGCATAACGAGACCCAGAGGGACTGCCGAGTCATACGGTAGTCTTCATACTGTTTTCCATAACTGTTACGCCAATTTATACCAATATACCAATTTTTATTCCAAAGGATATAAGTACCTTGAAGATACTGTGTTCCCCCATTTTTGCAGCATTATTAACAATAGATAAAATATGGAAGCTATCCAGTAGGAGAATGATTTAAAAACATGTATCTGTGTGTGTATATATATATATATATATATAGACACAAGTATATCTATATCTGTGTCATATGTGAGTACTAGTCTTGGAGAAAAAAAAAGAAATCCTGCCAATCTGACATGAATGAACCTGGAGGACATTAAGCCAAGTGAAATAAGCCATATGCAGAAGGAAAAAACAAACAAAAAAATGCTCTCGCTTATATGTGGAATTTAAAAGAATCAAATATATAGAAGTATAGAACTTAACCAATTAAGAAACTGGTTAAAATGACTATGATATTTTGTTAGTAATAATAGGAAAGGTCTTTGAGTAGTTGGAAATGATCAATTTAGACACTTCGGGGCAGAAGTCCATCTCTTCCTCAAATGGGAAGGCAGAGGGTTAGGATGGATGTGTGTGTCGAGTGTGGTACAGGAAAAGGGTCAGGATGCTGAGTACTTTCTGTTCACAGTAGAAATCTTCGAGGACTTGATTGGAGCTCTCCAATTAGTTTGTTTCTTAGTTGTCAGCTATTTATATCCAGAGGTGTCTACTAAATTATATTCTCTCCTTTAGTATCAATCTACTTAAGATCACGTAAGAGCAGAGTACACATAAAATGTATTTTATCGAATCTTTATTATGTGTATTTCTTAGTTTAATGTAGTCTTTATTTTGTTGCTTGAGTTGTGTCATATCCAAAAATTCATTGCCAAAACCCATTGTCAAGTTTTCCTTTTTTCCTCTAGGATTTTTATGGTGTCTAGTCTTACATTTAAGTCTTTAATCCATTTAGAGTTCATTTTTGTGAGTGGTATAAGATAGGGGCCTAGTTTCATTATTTTACAGGTGAATATCCAATTTTCCCAGCACCATTTACTGAGGAGACTGTCTTTTCTCCATTAAGCATTGACTCATTTGTCAGATATTAGTCAACGGTATATGCATTGGTTGATTTCTGGGCTCTTGATTCCTTTCCACTAGTCTGTTTTTATGCTAGTACCAGTGTTCTGATTACTGTAGCTTTTATTTTATTTAAATGGATTTTCCCCATCTTCCCACCACCATCAGCAATCACATAGAGCTTTATATTACAGCTTGAAGTCAGGAAGTGTAATGCCTCCCACTTTGTTCTTCTGACAATTGCTTTGGCTATTTGGGGTATGCGGTGGTTCCATATAAATTTTAGGAGTTTTTCCTACTGCTGTAAAAAATGCCCTTGGAATTTTGACAGAGATTGCATTGAGTCTGTAGGTAGCTTTTGGTAGTATTGACATTATAACAAAATTAATTCTACTCTATGAACTTGGGATACCTTTCCATTTGAATGATGTCTTTCATTAGTCTCTTCTTGTAGGTTTCAGAATAGAGATCACCTCCTATGCTATTCCTATGCATTTCGTTTTTGATGCTATTATAAATGGAACTGTTTTTTCAGATCATTCTTTGGTGTATAGAAATGCTATTGCTTTTTGTATATTTTGTATCCTGACGCTTTACTGAATTTAAGTATTACTAACAATATTTTTGTGGAATCTTTAAGATTTTCTATATGTACAATCATGTCACCTGCAAAGAGACAATTTTACTTCTTCCTTTCCAATTCTGATGACTTTTATTTCTCCCTGCTTGATTGCTCTGGCTAGGATCTTCAATACTACGTGAATAGGATGAGAGTGGGCACCCTTGTGAGGGGAAGCAAAGTCAGGAATGACCCATGTTCTATCTTAGTGATGTCATTCTCATTTTTTTGAGTATGCATAATGTACTTTAATTAAAAAAATAATTGGCTGAAACTTATAAAGTTTCTGGACAGATGTGCTGTTTATTATATGTACTCTCATATACCATTGGGTCAAAAGCAAGACTTAGAGTGAAGCCAGGAAAGGGTGGGGAGGGAGAAAGAATTGGATACAAATACTGTAACAGGGTACTTTATTATATAGAGGATTTCCTGAGGACCACACCCTTTCCTATTGATTACCTTATATACAAATATTTGTTATTCTCAGATATTTTAATTATATCCAGTTCTAAAGAATAAAAATACTTGAATACTATATATTAATGCATCTGCAGTTGATTTATCATGGTAGTTTTTTTTAATTTCTACTGTGAATATACCTATTTTAAAAAATTTACCCAACAGAATTAAGTGGCTTCAAATGAAAATTCTTTGACCAGTGCTTCTCAAACTTTTGTATTCGTCAGAATCACCTGGTAGGATTGTTAAAACACTGATTGCTGGGCTCCACCCCAGAGTTTCAGTCGGTCTTGGGTGGGAGACTCAAGCATCTGCACTCCTAACAAGTTTCCGGGGGATGCTACTGGTGGTTCAGATAACTACGCTTAGTGTCAACAATCTGACATTTTATTTGGGGGGTTTCGTATTCTGTTAATTTTTCATGAGTTTGATAAAATGAAGCAAAACCACATACATAAAACTCTTGGTGAACAAAATTTTATTCTAAAAATAGATCTTAGATTTTAGTTAACAATGAAATATCCAAAGCTGGTCATTATAATAAAAAGAAAAAACAGGATTCACTTTAAAATTTTTTCTGAAAAATACAAAATTATCACTGTAATATACTGCCAACTCTCATGTATCTGTATTTGAATTATTTATTTTATGAATTATCCAAGGAAATTTTAAAATCACCGATTGGATTGTACCTGACAATATACATCTGAATTGCTTTTATCTTCAAGTAAATACATTCTCAAGGAATGCAAACAAAATGGAATGTTTGCTTTAAGTCAATATAATTAGGAAAAAATTAGAAAATATGCTCCAAAGCAAAATATTGGTTTGCCTCCCTGTTTCCCTCAAATTTTGCACAAAACCAAAAATACCTGACTTGTATTGAAATACTGGTATTTAAAAGTAGCAAATTATACAACTTATATACAGAGAAAAGACATAACTAAATTATTTCAAACCCAAAACAGAAAACTTTAAAGGCATTATGATGACATTTAGTATTTAAAAAGTGGTTTTTTACCTTCAAAGTGCTAAAGAAAGAAGTACGCAAGAAAATTTCAGGCCTGTCTACAAAGTCCTGACTTATTTGAGGTACTGAAACAGCAAGAATGTAAGGTACAAAACTACTTAAGTGTAAAAGGCCCCACTGCTCTAAGAGACTGGTTTCGTAATGTTTTCTCCACACAGCATGTGCCGCATCCATCCTGTCACGTCCGTATCTGGGGTAACTTCTATCATCCATGTGCATTCTATCAACAGGCCATAATGCACAGTGAGTAGAAATGATTCTTTTAAATCAAATCGCTTAATATAGTCTCCATAAACCAAAAGCTGATCACAAAAATTACATTTAAGTCCTATTAATGTAGCTGCGTGTTTACTAGGATGTCTTAGCTCATTTTTAGACTATTAGAAACTGGTGTGATTTATTCTGACTAATCTAAGATAGAAATACCATCTCAGTATGACACAATACCTCTTTTGTCAAAACTTGACCCTGAGTTTGAGTGCTGGGATATAAACTGTAAAACTGAAAACACTCCAAAATGTGTTGGCTAATATCACTGTCCCTGTAAGTACTATGCTTTTTCTCTCTGCTAACAATACATGTGAAAGTACCTCCTCTTCAGCAAGAGAGGAGTGGTGGGAAGAATACCCAAATAAGAAACTCTTGTCTTAAATCGTCGTAAGAATTGGTATTTTAGTATACAAATGCTGCTTCCCCAGCTTTTAAGTAAAATCAACAGTGCAGAAAAATGCAGTATGTCCACCTTGCAGGTTTAGCAGCATGAGGGGAGCGCTACAATCCTTGGCCTGAGGAGCAGAGCGTTACTCTACAGTTTCGACTGTACAGAGTGCTGAATGTTGTACTGGAAGTCAAATAAGGGGCTTTTAAAAAAGTTAGTTGGGTTTACGCTGCATTAAACATTTCTATATATTGAAAGCAGCTCTACATCTCTTAAAAATATTCACTAAATAATATAATAGCTGAATATGAAATAAAGCAATTTCCAGTGGTGACGATATTCTCACAGTAGCATATAATCTAACTTCTTATTTAATACTAGAAACTAAGTCTTTAAAACACTATACTGTTAAACATTGCAATTTACTGAAATTACAGAGGGAAGAAAAGATATTGTATCAACTGCCATTAAAGCTCAAAAGAAGTCATTAATAAAAATACAGGCTCTCACAGGGCTAAACTCCAGTATTGTTTCTGCTTTTATTTGATTTTTTTGTTTGTTTTGTTTTGGGAGGAGGGGATGCACTTTGTTTCTAAACCTAGGACTAAAACATAAAATATTCATGCTTTTTGACACTTAAACTAAAATTATGCTTAAGATCTGGCTTAATCATAAAATGCCTGACATCAGTAAACCAGCATATACCCAGCTCTGTGCAGCACTAAGTTCTCTGTGTGAGCAGGAAAGACAACCCACATCCTGAGTGCTGTGACGAGCTCCTTATTTGTTTGTCCGGATGGCACTGTGCCCTTCTGAGACGATGTCTTCCAATCACTGGCCCCATGTGACCAATGCCATGAGAAAATGGGACAGGACTTGTCTTACCATCTATTTCCTAAAAGCGAATATAACTACTGCATTACCTGTACGTTCCAAATGAAACCCCAAAACCCTTTTTACCTTTAGTAATCATGAGAAGTCTTTACATATTTATATGCTGTATTATACATTATATGCATGGCCTGTTTATACTGTTTTCAAAAAGAGAATATGGTCTTAAACTAATCGATAGGGATGCACCGATCTTCTTTCCAGTGGTCCTCATATTTCCTTAAATGATGGCATCATGTTCATCACTGTAATAAATCAAAGGTTAAAATTACTTTGTTTTGTATTTGTATCAAGACTACTTATATATTCATATTTTAAAGTAACAAATAATTTCAAGTTTCAGAATTCAAATTAAATGGTTAAGGATTGGAACAGTGGTTCAGGCTGTCAAACCTAAACTGAAATCTCTGCTCTGCCTCTTGGGGCTATGTGACTGTTCACAGTTAGTGATTACAACCCTCTTTAAAAAAGAAAACCACCACCATTTCTTGAGCGTTTACTATGTGCCAGATGTTATACTCCTGACTTTACACCCAGAACTCATGTAATCATCACAGTAACCCCGTGCAGAGGACACTTTCATTTGCTTGATGTATCCATTCTCCCATTTGGACAGGATCTGAAGCTAAGCAAGCATGTGAACTCCCATCCTGACCACTGAGCACTAAGCTGCCTGTTTACATAAGCACGGGAAGGCACCCTGCTAGTCAGCGGTCAACCAGGGCTAAAACTATTGGGTTGGCCAAAAAAGTCCGTCTAGTTTTATTTTCACCAATACCCTTATTGATTTGGATCTTTTGGCTATGTCTTGCTGTTGGCTTCTAGTGGATAGAGGCCAGGGGTGCTGCTAAACCTCTTCCAATGCATAAGACAGCCCCACAGCAAAGAATTATTTGGTTAAAATGTCAATAGTACCAAGAAACTTCACAAACCACTTGACATGTTCGGTCAGTGACAGCACCTTCTCCATACACTGCACAAATCTTTTTGGTGTTTCAGGTGCGTTTTTACCTCTCTTGAAATAATAAAGCATAATATGCAGAAAATGTTGCATATTTTCTTCCATCTTCAATATTAAAATGGCTACACAAAAGTCTTGGTAAGTTTTTTTTTTTAAGATTTTATTTATTTATCTTTAGAGGGGAAGGGGGAAGGAGAGAGGGAGAGAAACATCAATGTATGGTTGCCTTTTGTGTGTCCCCTGCTGGGAACTGGCCTGCAGGGAACCAGCCTGCAACCCAGGCATGTGCCCTGACTGGGAATCGAACTGCGATTGTGTGGTTCACAGGCCTGCACTCAATCCACTGAGCTACACCAGCCAGGGCCAAGTCTTGGTAAGTTTTGATAACAAAACCAGTTTTGGTAAGTTTTTTAAATATGCATGCTCTTATGACAGCTGTCACAATACAATCTAACAAAACTATTTCAAATGAAGTTAAAGACAACTAAGCACAAGAGCCATCATACAGAAAACAAACAAACTTCCTGGTCAACCCAATAAGTCTGCCCCAAACCCTGTGTCTTAGCTATTTAATTCCACTGTCCATGTAACTCTAAGAAACATAGGAGCTATCATTTTAATCAGTTAATATCCAACAAGTGAAAACTAGAAATGTTCATTGTTACTGGATATAGAGGGTCTCAGTTTCTTTCTTTTTTAATGTTTTAAAAAATATTTTTTATTTATTTCCAGAGAGAGGGAAAGGGAGAAAGAAACATCAATGTGCAAGAGCTACATTGATTGGTTGCCTCTCACACGCCCCCAAACAGGGACCTGGCCCACAACCAGGGCATGTGCCCTGACTGGGGATTGAACTGACAACCCTTTGGTTCAGAGGCTGGCACTCAATCCACTGAGCCACAGCAGCCAGGGTGAAGGTCTCAGTTTCTTTACTGGGACAAACATTAAGTCCTTACATATGGAACACCATTTTTTATAATTTCAAAGGAACTTCTGGCTTTAAAATGCACATTTTTTAAAATAAAGCACTAAGAAAAGTACAGCCAATTAAACGCAAACACAGTGCTTTCTCATCCCACAGACTGTAAGATACATCCTAATTTCAGAGGTGTTAAAACATGGAAAAAAACAAAAATGTTTACTTAGACTCAACTAAACATGGTATTTTTACCACCTACTGGTTCCTACATGAAAATCAAACTCCTTTTCGAGTCAAAGTGCTTCTGCCAGCAGTTTCCTCCCAGCAAGGGGGGTCTGGACCCTGACTTACTCCACAGGCCATGTGTGTCTAAGGGAAAAATGAGCCCAGAAGCTGAAATTGCATACTTCCTGGTTAAGGCAGTTTAAAAGGAAAATGCTTATTTTAATTTAACTGCTACACTATTTTATAGCCTCAACTATGTGAATACATATTGATATTTAAAATGAATACTTATTGATATATGAAATACAATTGGCATTTAATTTACTATAATTAAAATGTGCCTTCTGTTTAACTGCTTAAACTTACTAAGGAAACAGATGATAAATATTTCTAGAGCGAGTGATTTTTAAAAATTACTGAAAATTTTAAAGGTTCAATCAGTATTCCTGGGAAGTCTGTGTGGGATATGTATGTTGAAAACCACTTAAAACGAACCAGTTATGGAGAATGATCATCTAGTCTATGGTATTATACATGAACATCAAAAGAAGGAATTGGTACGTGTATGTAGAAGACTCAAATCTAAAAGGATTCTGTTGGTGTAACAAAAGCTGGGAGGTACTACCTCCAAAAATTGTAAGGCCTATACAATTTATGAAGGGGGAATATGGTTTGGTGATCAGGACTTGATGTAAAGCTCATCTAAAAAGTAGTGTTACTACAGATAAAATGATAATGTATATTATACTAACAAGTCATCTGATACAGTAAATTATCAGGGAAAATGTGGCTATCAGAAAAATTTCTTTAGTAGCTTTGCCTTTGTCATAGGAAGCAAAAACCATGTTTTTACCAAGGATGTTCTTTTAGTGCTACCGATAAACACAAGACGTGCTAGTCCGACAGCCACACGAAGCCTGATCCAGTGTTCCTGATGATTAATTACAGCTACAGTCAAGTAAAAAGGGTTGGCTTAACTTGGGTCTGTGGTAAAAATGTGTAACATTAAAAAATACAAACACATTTACAGGTACATACATCTATTTCTGTTTGTAAATATTTGTAATCAGAAGTTGTACATAAATAATTTACTTTGGGCATAGAAGATTAATGGGAACATAACTCATAAATCTATAAATTACTCATCTCTGAGAAGAATATCACCCCCACTACTCTGATGTTTTGTCATGATATTTAAATAGAGAAATACAGAAATAGTTAAAATTAAAGTCCTGGGCAACCAAAACTCACATGGTTCTATACTGAATGCCTCTTCTTGAATAATATACTTTGCATCCAATGTAAAGAATAGATAAAATTCCCAGTGTTAATGCAATACCACCAACAAAGCTGCCAATATCAAATTTTGAGCCTTTGTTTTCTTTAGAATTTATAGTTGCTGTGACTGAAAGAAAACAAAACAAAACAGGCTTTAGTACTTTTTAAAACCATTGTAATAACCTAAAATTTTCTGGATCTCTATATAAATGAACACGGAACTGGGACAGGGGGCCTCTGAACACAGGAAGGTGCTCTCCCGCATCTCTACAGACTCGCCTGGAGCTAGTTTTCTTCAGGTTCTCCAACACCCTGGACTTCCAGTCTCTTACCAGAACCTCAGAGGCAGCAAGACTTCTTGTTGGTTTTTTTCCTTATAAATCCTCTTAAGATTTTATGCCTTAACAAAAGAAGTCTGGGTAACACAGCTATTATCTTGAAATTGGATCCAATTTGAATAAATGTTTCTAACTGAAATTTCTCCTTTCGAATAATTTGGAAATCTAAACTATTTTGGTTTGAATCATGGCGAGAGCCTTTGAGACGTTATGTTTGATCTCAATAAATAAATTCTAGCAATAAAGAAACTAAACTAGATGAAGTAAAATACATAAAAACACAGAAAAGAAACCATAAAGTCTGCTATTTGTTCTCATGAATATACTAGCTCTTAAAAAGAACACCAGCGTTGGATAACTTGATCTTCTTAAGGGTTTTGGAACTCATGGTTTCACAAACCTCGTGTTTTTAAAAATGCAAAAAGTAAAGAGTGCTGAGACTCTGAAACTACATACATGATCACATCTAATACAATTTAAAAATATCTTTATGGCACAAATGAATTAAAATCAAAGTTCACTGTGATTTTGCTCTGGAAACCATGTAGACTGAGCCTTCCTGATTCCTTCCTACAATGAGGAAAAGCATTAAAGGTATGACAAATCTTCAAACCATAAAATAAAGTCCCCTGTTAGGATAAATTACATATTCACAAATGGGTCTTAGAGTCATTATTTGGTATGATTAAGTTGGAAAACCACTTTTTTTAAAGGGACAAGAACACTAAGTCAATTAGCTCTTTTCCTGATTTCTACAACTAACTTATTTAGTAAGAAATCACTGCCTAAATTTCTGTTATTTATTTTTGCAGAATGGAATGATGATCCAAATGTGGCACTTAAATTAACAACTATTTTCAGCATAGGAAAAGTAGATCATTTTTAATACATACTTGTTACTGATGAAGGAACAGACGTCACCGAGCTGTTGTGGCTTGCGGCCATCGTGGATGTTGACACCTGTGATGTGTTTTGTGAAACACTTGTTATTCTGGGTGTAGACTTTAAGGTGGTAGATGGTGTATTTGCTGAGATCCCTGGTGTTGTTGTCACTTGGGAAGTTGTTGAGGTTTTCGAGGTGGTGCCTGCAGTCACATTTTTTGTGACTACAGTAACTGAAGTTGGTTTTACTGTGGATTTCAAGGTGTTGACTATGGCTCCGAAAACTGAGGTTGTAGATGGTTTCACGGTCGTGCTGGAAGATCCATTCCTATCGTCAGGAGGCACAGGTGGGACAGTCCCTGTAAGAATATCAGAAAACATTAAAACTGGACTTCCAGCCAAGATGGAGGTGTAGGTAGATAATACTTTGCCTCCTTGGACAACGAAAAGGACAACAAATTTATAAACAAAAAATAACAAAAACTGACAGAAAATCAAACTGTATGGGAGTCTGACAACCAAAGAGTTAAAGAAGAAACATTCATCCAGACCAGTAGGAGGGGTGGAGACAGGCAGCGGGGGTGGAGAGGACACTCGGCAAGGCGGTGGCTGGAGGACTGGGCGGGTGAGGCGGTGGCTGACGGTCCCACATTAGTGTGCAGATAAACTGGGAGGAACAACTGGGGAGTGAAACAGACTGCATAAGCCAGGGTTCCAGTGCAGGGAAATAAAGCCTCAAAACCTCGGGCTGTAAAAACCTGTGGGGGTTGCAGTGGCACGGGAAGCTCCCAGCCTCACAAGAATTCGTTGGAGAGATCCATAGGGTTCTAGAACATACACAAACCCACCCACCTGGAAATCAACACGAAAAGGGTCCAATTTGCTTGTGGGTAGTGAGGGAAGTGAATGAAAGCCAGCAGACAGCCGAGCAAATGGCATTGTTCCCTCTAGGACCCCTCCCCCACCTACAGCAACGCAATGAAGCAATGTGAATTACCAGACTCCGGTGACTATGTAAGGCTCTGCACTTTACAATGTAACAGGTGTGCTGAGACAGAGACATATGGCCCGAATGAAAGAACAGATCAAAAATCTAGAAAAACTAAGCAACAAAGAGATAGCCAGCCTATCAGATGCACAGTTCAAAACACTGGCAATGAGGGTGCTCCCAGAAATGGTTGAGTATGGTCACAAAATAGAGGAAAAAGTGAAGGCTATGCCAAATGAAATAAAAATATACAGGGAACCAACAGTGAAGGGAAGGAAACCAGGACTCAAATCAACAATTTGGAGAAAAAAGAAATAACAGAACAGAATGAAGAAACAGGAATTAAAAAAAAATGAGGAGCAGCTGAATAATGTCCGGGGCAACTTTAAATGTTCCAACATCTGAATCATTGGGGTGCCAGAAGAAGAGCAATAAATTGAAAACTTATTTGAAAAAATAACAGAGAACTTCCCCAATCTGGTGAAGGAATATGACTTCCAGGAAGTCCAGGAAGCCCAGAGTGTCCCAAAGAAGTTGGACCCAAGAAGAAACACACCAAGGCACATCATAATTATACTACCCAAGATTAAAGATGAGAATTTTAGAAGCAGCAAGAGAAAAGGAGACAGTTGCCTATAAAGGAGTTCACATAAGATTGTCAGATGATTTCTTAAAAGAAACATTACAGGCAAGAAGGGGCTGGAAAGAAGTATTCCAAGTCATGAAAGGCAAGGACCTACATCCATGATTACTATATCCAGAAAAGCTATCATTTAGAATGGAAGGGTAAAGTGCTTCCCAGATAAGGTCAAATTAAAGGAGTTCATCATCACCAAGCTCTTATTATATAAAATGTTAAAGGGACTTATCTAAGAAAAAGAAGATAAAAAACTATGAACAGTAAAATGACCACAAACTCACAACTATCAACAACTGAACCTAAAAACAAAAACAAAAACTAAGCAAACAACTAGCCCTGGCTGGTGTAGCTCAGTGGATTGAGCGCAGGCCTGTGAACCAGAGTATCATGGTTCGATTCCCAGTCAGGGCACATGCCTGGGTTGCAGGCCAGTTCCCAGCAGGGGACACACGAGAGGTAACCATACATTGATATTTCTCTATCTCCTTCCCTTCCCCTCTAAAGATAAATAAATAAAACCTTAAAAAAAAAACTAAGCAAACAACCAGACCAGGAACAGAATCACAGAAATGGAAATCACATGGAGGGTTATCAGCAGGGAGGGGGAGGGGAAGAATGTGGGAAAAGGTACAGAGATTAAGTAGCATAGATGGTAGGTACAAAATAGACAGGGAGAGGTTAAGAATAGTACAGGAAATGGAGAAGCAAAGAACTTGTATGTATGACCCATGGATGTGAACGAAGGGGGAGGAATGCTGGTGGGAAGGATGTGCAGGGGAATAAAGGGGAGAGTAAAAATTGGACAACGATAATAGCATAATCAATAAAATATGCTTAAAAAATCTTTAAAACTGGAGCTATGACCCGGGGAAACTAAGACCCCACGTCACTGTGACTTTCATGGTTCCACAGAAACAGGTCTAACAAGTAAGGCAGCGTGAGAGATACTTTAGTCCATTAATAAATACTCAGCAGAAACCAAACCTACATTTAAGAATTTCTGCGGAGATATAAAAAAAAAGGATTGAGTCCCTTCAATACTGGGATGATGTCTTAACCATTTCTATCTGAGGATCTTACCATACTTCCTGTCCCAAACATTAGTTGAATAGATAAGTAAATTAATAGATATGAGAGGGTTTTTTAAATTAAAAGTTTAAAGTCTCTCTGCCACATCTTTCCAGCTTTGAGGACAACCAGTAGTGGCATGTTTCAAATTCCTCTTACGTTTTCTCCACTTTGGGTCTCTGTGTGTTATCTTCCACTGAGTATTATCTAATATTTTTAAAAGGCCTAAGACCTTTTAAAGGTACTATAAAGACCACTAAGTTAAAACTTTCTAGCATATGATACAAATGCTATGAACTTGAACTAATCTTTTACTATTAAATTCTGAATACTTTATATAGATAAAATATGGTTTAACATTGAAATAATCACATTTTATTTTAAACTAGTGGATGAATTCTATTGCAGTGAAATGAAATACAGCAGATAACTAGCATTTATATATCTTTAGAACAAAATGATCTTTGCAGAGTAAATCAATGAAAGCAATGCTGCTTTTGGATTCAACACACAAACACAGCCCAATTCCCACTCCCTGCCAAAATAAGAAATGTTATACAAAGTCACATGGGCAAAAATAGAGATCTACTTTTAGTTCTCCACTAAGAAAATCCAAATGTGTTGAAGAAACAACTAAGCAGCCAAAACTACGAATTGACAAAACAGGCCAGTATGTTTTGTTTCAAACTGTATTTCATGATTAAATGTGTAAACTGCAATGCCCAGATTCGCTCCTCAAGGTCGGAACTCATATCCAGTATTCCTCCTCCCTCGTCTGTAAAATAAGTAAGTGCTGCACTATGAATGATCCTATGCCAAGGAAGTCTGGAGGTCTTCCTGTTCCCTTAACTGTTCAGTTACTGACCAGCACCTCCAAGGGGTGGCACCTGCAGAGATTCCTGCAGAAGAGACTGCCCAGGACTTAACAAAGGATCAGGTCCTATCTGACTCTGCCAGTCTTAGCCATTCAGTCTCCTGCGGCCTCTGAGAAGCACAGGCTGTAAAGGCTTTTGGGGTGAGGGCTGAGCAAATAGGTAAAGGGGTTCAAAAGGTATAAACTTCCAGTTATAAAATAAATAAGTCATAGGGATATAATGTACAGATGGTGACTATAATTGATGATACTATATTGTATGTTTGAAAGTTGCTACGAGAGTAGATCTTACAAGTTTTCATCACAAGGAAAAAAGTCTGTAACTGTATATGGTGATGGATTTTAACTAAACTTACTGTAGTTGATCATTTTGCAAATATCAAATCACTATGTTGTACACCTGAATCTAATATGTTATATGTCAATTATACCTCAATAAAATTAAAAGGTACTAAAAACAAAATACGTACAAAATAAAAAGCCCAAAAGAAGGTAAGTTATCGGAGGGTGTCACTGTGCTATGTGTCTACCCCCACCTCTGCCCCTGGAGAGAAAGGAGAATGCTACCCTTCATCTCAAACAACACTGGAAAGGCAGCAAACTCTTTGACCAGTATTCCTGATTGGTCTTAGCAGTTTTTTCCTGGATCGGTCTCTTTGAGCAAGGGCAACAAAAGAAAAAAATAAATAAATGGGGCTCCATCAAAGTAAAGAGCTTTTGCACATGAAGGACACCATGGACAAAAGTCTTAGAAACCGTGGACACTCCCTGTGTGTCCCTCCAGATCCCTCCCTTCCTCATCCCACCAGCTCTCTGACCTGAGAGAGAACCCTTATGAATTGTACTGACAGGCTACCGTACCACCTACGCCTCTGGTTTGGTTCAGCCAAAGAGAAAGCATCATTTGTTAATGCTTTACATTCTGCCTTATTTTTATTAGCTTGTATAACTAACTGATTTGACTGAAAACGCAGTGTCCTTTACTGCTTGGGACTAGATCCAACCAGGAACAGGCTGGTTAACCTGGAACCAGGAACAGAGTTAAGCCCAGATCTGTGTGCTCTAAAGCTACCTGTCTGTCTACATGTACTGGGTTGGCCAAAAGCCCATTATGTGTTTTTCTGTACGATGGCTCTAGTGTTGCTCATTTGTCTTCAACTTAATTCAAAACAATTTTGTTAGACTGTATTGTGACAGCTGTCATAGTAGCATGCATTTAAAAAAAAACTTATCAAAATCGGTGAATTTTTGTATAGCCATTTTAATATTGAAAATGGAAGAAAATACACAACATTTTTGGCATGTTAAGCTTCATTATTTTGAGAAAGGTAAAAACTCAACTGAAATGCAAACAAACAAAAGATCTGTGCAGTGTATGGAGAAGGTGCTGTGACTGATCAAATGTGTCAAAAGTGGTTTGTGAAGTTTCTTGGTACCCATGACATTTTGGCCCAATAATTCTTTGCTGTGGGGCTGTCTCATGCCTTGGAAGATGTTTAGCAGCAACCCTGCCTCTACCCACTGGAAGCCAATAGTGGGAGATAGCTGACATACTCAAAGTATCCAGATCAATAAAGTTACTGGTAAAAATGAAAAATGTGCAAGTTTTTGGCCAACCCAATATTTACTCAATGAATACTTAAACAGTATTCATTCTGAACCAGACATGGTTCTAAATCTTTTAAAAATATTACAATTTTCATAATTACCCAGGAGGTAATGTGATGGTCACCCCCATTTTACAGATGAAACTGGGGTGGGGAGGTTGAGTAACTTGAGCACCAAGCAG